ACCCCACTTTCCTCTTGTAAATTGAGGAGGTTGGATTAGGTGGCCCGAGGTCCCTTCCAATCCTAAATTTATGACACATAAGCTAATAATAGGCACTGAGTGTTTACTGAATGATTGCTTGCTGAGGAGTTGATCCAAGCTTCTTTCTTGGGGGCAGGGACCATTTCAGTTTCAGCATTATATTCCCAGTGCCTCACACAGTGCCTGGCATGTGCTCTTAAAAGATATTTGTTGAATTGAATTGACTCTCTCTTCTAGAAGGACTGAGGTTATCTGATTTCTGAGAATGCTCAACTTGGGGAGGGCTACCTTCCTCTCTTTTGGTCTAACTTGGAACAGCAAGACTCATGGTGGAAACAATAACCAGAGGGGGTGGACAATGGGGGCTTTGCCCAGGGCACTGAAGTTAGACTATGTAAACCCTTGTAGTCCCTCAGTGGTATAGAAATTACAGACCTGGGCATCTAGCGAGCAGGAATAAATTAGAACAGGAAACTACCAAGTGGTAGGCTAAGATTCTCTCCTCCCTTTCTTTTCTTCTCCCATATCAGTTCTAAGTAGAAGCATTGATCTTCCTACCCTAGGGTAGTGTGCTGCTCATAACCCACTAGGGTCACATCTTGGTAGAGGAGAAAGAACATGGGCATTGGAGGCAAAGGACCTGTGTTCCAATCCCACCTCGGATACTTCCTGTGTGATCTTGGTCAGGTCAGCTTCTCCAGGCTTACTTTTCTTGTCTGTAAAATGAAGAGGTTGGATGAGAGGACTTCTGAGACCCCTCCCAGCTCTAGATCTCTGATCTTACAAAAAAAAGCTTCATGCAGATTGTCCTGGGTACAAAAATTCCTACTTTCATGTCTTGTCATGTGGAGCCCATTTCAGTTCCAATGTCATTGTAGCAGAAGACAGAGTAAAGAATGAAATGGGGATCAGGGGTTAGGCTCAAATTCATTGAGAATGTATCCTGTTTTGTTTTTATTTGAAAGTAGTTCAGTGGAAAGTGTCTGGAATTTGAAGTCAGAGGGTCTGGGTTCAAATCCTGGTCCTGGCACTTTTTACCTGTGTGATGTTAAGTAAGTCATTTAAGTCCACAGGGAAAACCTCAGTTTTCCCATCTGTCAGAGGAGGAGGATGGATGAAGTGATACCAAAGTCTTTTCTAGCTCTAAAAAGATGCTTCTGTGGCCAGCAGGATCAAAGAAGTTATTGGGTGTGGGGTAGAGGGGAATTCCTGTTCAGGTGTGTGTTGGATCTTATGGCCTCCAAGAAGAAGTCAAAGAAAGAAGAGAGAAGTCTTTGAGCTTTGGGGAATCCTTCAGGGGGAAAGAACCCTCATCTCTGCCATTCTGTCTAGTTTGTCTCCAGCACACACATAGGACTCCTTCCAGCCCTGGCCCTAGTGTTGAGAGATGGTCACATCTATAAAGGCCCTGAGGATGGAAGTGACTGATAAAGAAGCAGATACACCCAGTAACTTCTTGGGTCTTGCTGGTCACAGAAGCATCAATTTAGACCTGGAAAAGACTTATACTTCACTTCATCCATGGAGCCTGCCATGGAGACAACAATGCTGCCATTGTACAAAATATCTCCTCTCTTCAGGCAGCACACAGTAGGGGCTTTCAGGGGCTGCAGGAGGCCTGGCTGCTAGTTTAGACAACTGCACAGAGATTGCCATTTGTTTGACTAGCCTTGGGGCTGCAGATTAGGGGTTCTGGCCACTTCATTGTGTCCAGGGAGACAGTCTCACAAGAATCTTGGGTTGAAGGGATGGAGGAGTCTCCCTCTGGAGGGGAGTGGCCTCAGTTTCACTTCTCTACAGCCCTGTTGCTGTGCTTTGATATGCCACCTTTAGAACCTGGAAAGTCAACTTTCTTCTTAGAAGCTGTCCATAGCAATGGAAATTTAAGGAAGCAGACAGCTTAGAATCCCAGAATCTCAGAGCTGGAAAGCACCTTGGAGGCCACGGAAAGCAACAATTCTAAGAACAAGACCTCCCCACCCCCCAACAACATACTTGACCAATCCTTTCCCATTCTTTGCTTGAGCACCTCTCATGACGAAGAACTCATTTGATGTAACGTGGAACCATGAGAAGTCACTTCACTTTTACACAACCAACTTTCCTAATTCAGAAAATGGAGATAATAATAACACTTGCGGCAGCTGCCTCACAATGTGATTATAAAGAGCCAAAAATACAATGTGTATCACGCACTTGGTAACCCTTAAAGTACCACATAAATGGCAGTTATTATTATTAATAATTACCTCTTGAGACAGTCTATTTTTCTTTGGAATACCTGCCACTGTTAGGAAGCCTTCTCATACATCTAAAAATCAGTAAACCAGATTTTTGCTTGGACCTGTGATATCATTAGCTTGTTGGGGATTCCCTAACAAGGGAGGGTATGGGAACTCCCTTTCCCACAGGCATTCTTCACATGAAGACCCTGAACTAGATTTTTAAAAAGTTAGATAACTATATTTCAATATAATCGATTTCCTTTGTAATTTTGTGTATTTTGTGCCTTAAAAACACGATTCTGAGAAGGGATCTATAGGCTTCCCCAGTCCATCAAAGGAGACTAGAACACACAAAAAGGGGTTGGCTTTTCCAAGAGGCAGATGGGTCACTTGTCAATAATTTATAGTCTCAGAGAGCTGCCTACGGTTTCCAAGTTTAGCTAAACTGATCCTCAGCGGCAGGCCTATCCCTGGACCATCCTGAGCACCTTTTCAGTTTGGTAGGCCCTGCCAGAGCTTTTACTCTCTGGGCATAGCCCTTGAAGACCCAGGACTACCATTACCTTGCTATATACTACAAAAGGTGCTGGGGGTATGACTACTGGAGAATGCATAATGGGCATTAGGATATTTCCCTTATTCTCATACAAAAAAAAAATTTATTAAGCATCTATTTGTGCAAGGCACTATGTAACCACATGACCGGTGAGGTCCCTTCCAGCTCTTATCTATGATCCTGTCTTAGGTGCTGGGGATACATTGAATAAAGGAAAAACAGTACATGGTACTGAGGGGCTTAGGTTCCTTGGTAGGGAAAGAGGCAGGAAGGGCATGTACATACAGATAAGTACATACAAGATAATTTTAAAAGTAAAATTTTTTTAAATTAATAAGCATTTTTTTTTCTCCCTGCTACCTCTTCCTCCAATTTAGATTAAAAAAAGAAGAAAAACACAACCTTTGTAAAAATATGCATAGTCAATCAAAACAGCTTCCTCCATTGGTCAAATCCAAAAAATGTAGCTCTTACTCTTCACCACTCTCTGTGAGGAGGTGGGTAGCATATTTCATCATCAATCCTCTGGAATCATGGTTGTTCACTTCATTGTTCAGCTTTTAAGTCTTTCAAAGTTGTTTGCTGTTACTAGATAAATTCCTCTCCTGGTTCTGCTCACTTCACTCTGCATCAGTTCATATATGTCTTCCCATGTTTCTCTGAATCTCTTTCTATACCAGATACTTTGAGGAGAAAGAGGTGTGCTGACCATTAAAGTAAAGGTCTCCTACAGAACATGGTCCCTTGGAGAAAGGCAGAGATGCTAAGAGGCAGCCTTGAGGAAGGAATGTAGTTCAGAAATGGAGGAAACCCTGTGCAAAGGTAAACAGTTCTAAGAAAAGCAAAAATTCAAGGAAGCCGTAAGTAGGTCACCGTGGTTGGATTCCAGAGTGTGAGATTCCCGCTGTCGGGGCATTCTGCAAAACATCTCCTAAACTAACCAGCGTGAGGCATTGTAGGGAGCGCGGGGATGGCTCAGAAAACAGCACCACATCACACCCCGTGCTCTTTCTTCAGTCGCATCCCAGGTGGCAGAGTAGAGAGCGGTACTTGAAGTCAAGAGTGTAAACTCCGATATTAACCTGCCCCAGGCTCAGTTTCCTCTCTTTAAATGGTTGCATTCCCTGCGCCGACACCACAGGGCTGTTGTGACGATCCACGCTTGGCAAAGCTTACAACCCTCTCTAAATGCCAGCCACGGCAGCAGTCCTTCCGCGTGGTCCGCCCCGTTGGGACGTCAGCTCCTTCCGAGCAGGGCGGTCTTGCTTTGCTTTCTGTGTCTCCAGCTTAGCACTTAACTTGGTACTCAGCTGCGCAGAGAAAGCACTTAATAATGGACGTCATTCATCCTTCCATCCATTCAGCAGCCGAGGCACTTACCCATCCATCTATCCTTCCCTTTCTCCCACCTCTCCATCCATGCACACACATATCTCTCCTTCTGTCCATTTACCCATCCATCCCTCCAATCATTCCTCCATCCATCCCTCCATCCCCTCCCTCCCAACCGTTCCTTTCTCCCCTGGCCAGGGAGGCGCCCGACGCTGCACCGGAGGGGGAAGGGCAGAGAGAGGAGGGGGCGCGCGCACGATTCATTCTTTCTCTGTCCTTTTCTCTTCCAGCCCAGGTGGGGCTGCCGAGCGCTGATTGGCTGCCCTCGGACAAGAGGCGTGCCTCCTGAGGTTGTCGCGGTCGCGGATTGGCCGAGGCTGGCTGCGCGCGCCCGGGACTGCGACTGCCCCGCCCTACCCCCCTCCCTCCCGCCGGCTCCGGAGCAAGGGGCCGGCGGCGGTTGTCGTGAACCGAAGTGCGGCGCAACGGTCGCAGGGGGCCGGAGACAGTCTCGCTGTAAGTGGAGGAGAAAGCAGACCCCAGCGGGCGGCCCTTTCTGTGCCCTGGCAAAAGAAAAAAAAAAAGAGGAAGAGAGGGAACCGCCGCGTGACGTAGACAGCGCGAGGAGACCTCGGGAGGGGGAGGGGTAACCTGGAACGGAGGGAGGGAGGGAGGAGGAGGGCCGCCCGCAGGGCCCCGCCCCAGACGTAGCCCCGCCTCTTCGGGGGAGGAACCGACGCGAACTGAGTCCCGCCCCCATTGCCATCTGGGCCCCTCCCCCCCAGCCTGGGTGCGGGGCCCTGGGAGCCTGGGGGGGCGGGGTGAGAGCCACCTCCCGGGGGCGGGGCCAGCGCTGCAACGTCGTCCGGCTACCTGAACAGAGAGGAGGGCTCTGGGGGCTGTGGTGGGGGGAGGGCGGCCCAGGAACCCCCCTCCCCCCACAGAGCCCCTGAGGAGATCACCTTTGCATCCTGGCCTGGGAGCCCGAGGCTGCGTCGTCCGCCTTCCTCATTTGACAGATGGGGAAACAGGCTCCCAGACAAGAAGGGACTTGTCCAAGGTCACACGATGTATCCAGCTGTGGGACCCTGGACGAGCCACTTCACCTCTGCCTGCCTTAGTTTAGCTCCACCCTTCCAGGATCGTTGAGGATCAAATGAAATAATATTTGTAAAGGTCTTTGCAAACTTTAAAGTGCTGTATGGATGTTACCTACCGTTATTCCACCTGGAGTCCAGTGAACTTGTTTTTTTAAATTGATGATATTTCAATTTAATTGGTTTCCTTTGTAATTCTGTCTGTTTTACTTTATTCGTTTACAGATATGATTCTAGACATCACCAGACTGGTCATGCTGCCTCTCTGACTTAAGGACCAACCCTCTAATATCTTCCAGGTAAGGAAAACAGGCCCAGAAAGGGGAAATGACTGGCTGGACATCCCCCACTAGCAAGTAGCAGAGAGGGCATTGGAACCCAGGGCTTTTGCAGTTGAGTTCTGGGACCCTTTGTCTCCTGCTATCCTAAAGGCCAGTGCCTCGGCTGAACTACGGAGGTGAATAGAAAGCCCTGGAAATGCTTTTGTTGGGGTAGGGGGAGGAGGGAGGATTGTGGGGGACAATGTTGGGGTCTTCCTGGTGCTGGGTAGTTCAGGCAGAAGTTCTTGATCAAGTTATCCAGATTCAAAGACTGCTGTTTTTCCCACCCTAAGGCTCATTCCCAGGCCTGGGAAAGTGAGGTAGCTCAGTTTGTGGTCTCCTTTACTCAGCTTAGACTCCGGGAATGGTCAGCTTCCTGTTTGCTAGCTTTCTTTTTGTTACAGGGTCCTATTAGAAATATTGCAGTCCTGCAGTGAGTCCTAGGAAGGATGAAAGGATGTGTCACCCTGCTTGGGTTTCCCTGAGGCTGCCCAGAGGCTCAAGTTTCTTGTGCCTGTACTAGTAACTAAATATAGGAGCAGCTGGTGGCAAGAGGGGGTGTTGAAGGCAGCTCCTTTGCATACATCCCTGGGCTTTTGGGACAGAAGAGGAAGGGTGGCTATCGGGCAGCTGGTGCTCACTTTTTTTGAGTGCTGGACCCCTTCGGCCCAGTCTGGTGAAGCCTGTGGCACCCTTCTCATGATCATTTTTGTAAATGTATGAAGTAAAATACAGAAGGTTACAAGAGAAACCAATTAGATTGAATTAGAGTTATCAAAATATTTTTTTAAAAAAAGCTCACTGGACCCCCAGCTTAAGAACCTCTGACCTCGGGAGCAGAGACGTGTTCCTGGATTTTCTGCACCCCTCAGCCCATTCCCTACAGTTGTATACTGTGAAATCACTGAATTCCATTTGACAAATATTTGACGAGCACCTACTGTGGGCAGGACCTGGGGAAGCAAAGATAGACAAGGTAGGTCCTACTCTCTAGGAACTTAAAATTGAATGAGCAGGTTCCAGAAGAGAGAGGTGTGTGGACGAGAGGTTCGGGCAAAGTCCTGAGGAGGGCAAGATCGTTTTTGCTGAGGGTGAGTGGATGGCTAAGGGCAGGGAGGCTCCTGGAGGAGGCTTCCCAGGGTCAAGCCTCTAGGGGGAGAGGCCATTCCAGGCATAGAGGACTGGTTTGATGAGCAGCCTGGGAGAAGGGTCTTTGGGTCCTTCCCTTGGTGATGTGGCCTGAAAATGTTGTGGGCTCACTGTGTGTAAATATATGTGTGTGTGTGTGTGTGTGTGTGTGTATATATGTGTGTGTGTGTGTATATGTGTATAATCCTAAGATGTTTGGGGATACTAACTAGGGAGTTCTGGCCCTGCTGTCTGGGGCTGCCTCCTGGACTTGCTGCTCTACTACTGGGCCTGGAGTCAGGAAGACCTGGGTCCAAATCCTGCCTCAGACATTTAATAGCTCTGTCACTTGGACTAAGTCACTTAACCCTCTGGCCTCAGGTTCCTCCTTCACTAAACTAGAATTTGCAGTGAGGAAGCCAGTGCTGATGGGCAACTGTTCTGTGCCCAAGGATAGTTAGGTACTATCAGCTTTGGGATTTAAACTCAGGTCCTCTGACTCCTAATTCAGCACTCTCACCGTGACACCAGGATTCAGACAGACAAACAGACACTCCTCTAGATTGGGAAGTGGGTGGGAGGTGAGAAAGAGGAAGCCACCAGATTTTTCACTAGTGTTTGGCTGTGCTGGGATGGAGATAATTGGTCAATAGTCTGAGGGGTTGGTTTGCTTGGTGACGTTAGTTGGATTTTTTTTTAAAGGATGGAGGAAATGAGAGTGTATTTGAAGGCTGCCAGGAAAAGAACCAATGTCTAAGGAGAGGTAGAAAATTAGGGAGACAAAGAGGAATGATCCAAGGGACAAGCTGCCTGAGGAGATGGGAGGGGACAAGGACACCAGTAGATGGGTTGACCTTAGTAAGAAAAAGGGCCACCTCATCCTCTAAGACTGGAGCAGAGACTAAGATGAAGAATGATACTGAAATGATTTTTAAACATTATGTTCTTTAATTTACAAAAATTCCTCTCCGTTCCATTTCCCCCTACCCCACTTGAAAAAGAAAAAGAAAAAGAAAACCCCAGTAACCAACGTACACAGTCAAGCAAAACAGATTCCTGCACTGGCCACGTCCAAACACTGTCTCCGTCTGGGCCTTGAGTCCATCAGCTCTCAGTCAGGAAGTGGGCGGCATGTCCTGGATCCTGCTGAGGTGGTTTAATGTGGAATTGGGGAGATGAGGGAGCTAGAAGTGGGAGAGAGTCTGCTGACAGGGGAGCAGTGGTAGGGGAGGGGGAAGGAATCGACTTTGGGGAGTGGTTAGGGAGGAATACAAGGATTGTCACTGAGGAATGAGTCCAGGCAATAAGCATTTATTAAGTGCCTACTGCAGACCTGGCACAGTGTTAGTCATAGGGGGAAAAATGCAGGCAACAAGAAAGACAGTCCCTGCCCACAAGGGGCTTACATTCTAAAGGGAGAAGATCATGCCCAAAAGGGAGCAGAAAAAGGGACAGGGGAAGCTGTCCACATGGAGCTGTATTGGAGAAGTCCAGAGAGTTAAGAGAGTGAAGGCATGAGCATGCATGACCTGTGCACATCCTCAAAATGTAGGTCCCCCGAGGACTTCCCCAGTCAGAACTGGGGGGGCGGACGCATCATTGCGGGGGAGAAAACCAAAGTGAAGGCCCAGCTGAAACTGGGTAATAAACATGTAAGGGGCCCAGGCAGCCTGTTGCCAGGGAACCAAGAAGGAAAAGTTGGATGGTGAGAGGATGCCATGTCTCCCTTGATTCTGAGGCCAGCTCTCAGTCTGCTCTGTTATGGTACCTTTCATCGTAGACTAAGGTCCATGATAAACGTATTAGAGAGTTACAGAACAAGATGCCATGTGACCTGCAGTGGGGAAGGTCATTATTCCTGGGGGATCAGGGGGAGTTTCCTGGAAGAGGTGACATGGGAGATGGACTTTAAAGGATGGTGAGAAAGCCATTCTAGGAACAGCTGGAACAAAAGCATGAGGGTGGAGCAGTGAGGAATTTGTTTGGTAGGTGGAGAGGAATCTAGTCTGGCTAGAATTTAGAGGTCTTGGAAGGGATACTATGAAATAATACTGGCAGGATGGAGCCGTATTGTGTAGGGCCTTGAATGCCAGGCAAAGAATCTTGGGCATTATCTTATTTTTGACAGGGAGCTCCTGAAAGTTTTTGAGCTTTGGCCTTACACTAGTTGGTCCCCATTGGCTACCAAAGTCAAGGGTCCCATCCCAGTAAGGGTTCCATTGCAGGGAGGGGAGGTGCAGATAGTTGGCACATCAGCTTAGAGTGCTGGGCCTGGACTCAGGAAGATCTGACTTCGGCTTCAGACTTTCGAAGTTATGTGACCCTGACCAAGTCACGTCATCATCTGCCTCATTTACCTTAACTGTAAGATGGGGATATAATAACAGCACCTACCCCCCAGGCTTGTTTTGAAGATTAAATGAGATAATATTTGTAAAGCTCTTAGCACAGCACCTGGCATTTACTAGGTTCTATACTTGGGCAGCCAGGTGGCACAGTGGATAGAGTGTTGGGCCTGGAGTCAGGAAGACTTATCTTCCAGAGTTCGAATCTGGCTTCAGACACTTACTAGCTGTGTGATCCTGGGCAAGTCATTTAACCCTGTTTACCTCAGTTTCTTTATCTGTAAAATGAGCTGTAGAAGGAAATGGCAGACCACTCCAGTATCTTTGCCAAGAAAACCCCAAATGGGGTCACAAAGAGTTGGGCATGACTGAAACAATCGAACCACAACAAATACAGGCATACCTTGTTTTATTGTGTTTTGCTTTATTACACTTCTCAGATATATTGCTTTTTTCAAGGTTTGTGGCAACTCTGTGTTGAGCAAGTCTAATGGCACTATTTTTCCAATAACGTGCTCATGCCATGTCTCTGTAATTTTGGTAATTCTTACAATATTTCAAACTCTTGTATTATTATTATATCTGTTATGGTGATTAGTGATCTTCAATGTTACTATTGTAATTGTTTTGGTGAGCCATAAACCACACCATATAAGATGACAAACTTAATAAATGTGTGTGTTCTGACTGATCTACTGACTGGCCATTCTAGCTCTCTCTCCCTCTCTGTTGGGCATCTCTATTGCCTGAAACACAATAATATTAAAATTAAGCCAGTGAGTAACTCTACAATGGCCTTTAAGTGTTCAGGTGAAAGGAAGAGTCAACAAATGTGGCACAATTCATTGTTGTCTTATTTTAAGAAGTTGCCACAGGAAACCACCACCCTGATGAATCAGCAGCTGTCAATATTAAGGCAGCCTCCACCAACAAAACTATTATGTCTTGCTAAAGGCTCAGATGATGGTTAGCATTTTTTAGGAAAAAATTTTTTTTTAAATTAAGGTATATGCATTGTGTTTTTAGACATACTACTGTTGCACGCTTAATAGATTACAGTGTAGTATAAATATAACTTTTATGTGCACTGGGAAACCAAAAAATTCTTGTTACTCACTTTATTGCGCTATTCAACTTTATTGTGGTGGTCTAGAACTGAACCACAGTATCTCCAGGGTCTGCCTGTATACAAAAATGCTTATTCCCTTCCCTCTGGCCTAGATCTGCTAGTCTCAAATTGGTTGTGCTGGACCATCCTATGTGGTAGAATTCAGATGCTGCTCAAAGGATATTTCCTCTTTGGTCTCTCATTCTCCTAATCCCTTGGTGTGAGGGCTGGATCGCATAGGGTTGAGGCTCAAGCCTTGGGCTGCTCTTGGGAGGATTCTGAAGCATTCATTTCTCAAGCCTTGTACTTTTTCTCCCTCCTTCCCCTTTGCCCCTTGGGGATTTACCTGCTCTGTGGCCCATTCTTTTAGGGCTTCTGGAGGTGTCTAGCTAAACTTATAAATCAATTACAGTGTTAATGACTAATAATGGCCCAAAGCTTACACCAAAACATTTGCATTTTAAAAGGATATTTAGGAAGATTGGATACTTTAATCCAAAGGAATTATTCTCAGTTGGGGAGAGAGGAACTTCTCTGGTCACGGTAGTCAGGGTGAGTTGGTAGAGTGGAATGGGCCTTGCCCCAAGGGCTTCCGTGTGTCCTGCAGAGGGCCTGAGAATCCCATTTCAGCCTCATGACCTTGCTATTCACACCCTAGAAGAGTCACCGAGGTATGCCTGCACCCACAAGCCTGTCCCCAGTGGCAGAGGCCTCTCCTGGCTCCAGGTCTGGTGTTGGCGCCTGACTCCTTAGCCAGGTGATTCACAGCCCACACCCAGGGGCTTGCAGGCCCAGCTCTCATCTTGCTGTCTCTGGTTTTGCCCCTGGCTCTGGGTGTCTGGTGACATCATCGATGTTGCTCTTCTTGGCAGCCTGGTGTGACCTGACTCGCTCCTCATCTCCCAAGGGAAAGCAGTAGGAGGATGTGCATGGTCACTTGAGGCTCTGGACTCTCCAGGGGTGGAGGTGAGTGGCTCCAGTGTGGTCCTGGGAAGACCCTCGGAGGCCCCTGACTGCCTTTGTGTGTGTGCGCTCACATGAGGCGGCCCTCGGGGTTTGGGGCCACTGTCGGTCCTGGTTCCTGTTGAGCAATCAATCCTCACTGCCTTCTCTTTTTTCCTCAGTAGCCGGTACTCTCAGTCCCCCTCCCTGAACAATCAATTGGCGGTGCTTCCCTGACAGAAAGGACTGTCTGCATGCTGAAGAAAATGGGTGAAGCTGTTGCCAGAGTTGCCAGGAAGGTGAATGAGACAGTGGAAACCGACTCAGATACTTTGGGTGAGTGGGTCTATCTCTCCGAGTAGTCTGAGTCTGCTGGGTCTTGTACACAGAGTGTGTATGTGTGTGTCTGTGTGTGTCTGTGTCTATGTGTGTCTGTGTCTGTGTGTGTTTAGGGAAATATGATGGCACCATTTAGCAGATAAAAAGAACTGGGTAAGCTCTTTGTCCTCTTCAGGGTACTTTCACATTGGTTGTCACATTTAATCTTGGCAATACGCCTGGAATTTCAGGTCCCTGAATTTTCTGTGTGGGCCCATTTAAAAGGTATCTTTAGCTTAGTGGCAGCCTGTTAGAGGGTCTGTCTCTTACCAGGACACCTGCCCAGTGGAAACAGAGAGGCCTCATTGATAGAATCTGATGGAATTTTCTGAATTCTGGTCTAGCTGGAGTAAGGTGCAGGGGTCCTGAGGCACTGACTGCCAGAGTTCTCCAGCCAGTGCACAAGGCCAGCAGAGAATCTGGAAAGGCTCAGAAAGATATTAAGGACTCATATGTGGGTGACTTTGTAACATAAAGACTCCATTGTCCTGCCCTGGAGTATCTTTTGTGCCTGAGTCCTCAGGCATCTCACAGCACTAACCAGGACACAAGAGGTTTCCCTGGAGGATGCACAGGGAGAACCCACCCCCCATCCCCCTTGAGTTGCTCGGCTTTGCCATAAAGGTTTCATCTGGATCTCTTGCTCCCCATGCATTCTGATAAGCTGAGATCTCCAGGCACAAGATAAGGATCTGCTTAGAAAATACTCACTGAGAAGTCTGGGATTTTTCAGCTTTGATATTCCTGCCTTAGAATGGGCGAGGTCTCTTAAGTGCTACAGTTGTTGTTTAGTCTTTGTTCTGGAAGAGGACCAATGACATCAGGAGGGTCTCCCAGAGTCTGTGTAATAGGGGCATGGGCCGGGTTCTGGTCCAGTTAGATCAATGCAGAATGTGTCTTAAAGACTTATTACTCACTGATGGGTAAATGTCATCCTGGAGGGAAGTCTCTACAGGAGTGCCATGGGGCTCGGTCCTGGGCCCGCTGTGCCTTGGATGATGACACTGAAGAGGTACTCATTACTTTTTAAAAAGTATTTATTTATTTATTTTTAGTTTTCAACATTCACTTCCACAAGATTTTGAATTTTAAATTTTCTCCCCCCCTCTCTGTCCTCTACCCTTCCCAAGATAGCGTTCAATCTGGTATAGGCTCTACTTATACATTCATAATAAGCATATTTTCCTATTAGTCATGACGTAAAGAACAATTAAAACTAATGGGAGGAGCCACGAGAATGAAGCAGTAAAGCAAAACAACAAAGGAAAAAGCAAATAGTGTGCTTCTATCTGCATTTAGACTCCATAGTTCTTTCTCTGGATGTGGACAGCATTTTCCATCATGAGACTTTTGGAGATGTCTTAGATCCTTGCATTGCTGAGAAGGGCCAAGTCTTTTGAAGTTAGTCATCGCACAATGTGACTGTTGCTGTGTACAACGTTCTCCTGGTTCTGCTCACTTCACTCAGCCTCAGTCCACACAAGTCTTTCCAGGTTTTTCTGAAGTCTGCCCGCTCATCATTTCTTATAGCACAACAGCATTCCATTACATTCATATACCACAACTTGTTCAGCCATTCTCCAAGCGATGGGCATCCCTTCAATTTCCAATTCTTTTCCACCACAAAAAGAGCTGCTATAAATATTTTTGTACATGTGGGTCCTTTTCCTGTTTTTATGATCTCTTTGGGATGTAGCCCTAGAAGTGCTATTACTGGGTCAAAGGGTATGCACATTTTTATAGCCCTTTGATCATAGTTCTAAATTGCTCTCCAGAATGGGTTGGATCAGTTCACAACTCCACCAACAATGCATTAGCGTTCCAGTTTTCCCACATCTTCTCCAACATTTGTCATTTTCCTGTTTTGTCATGTTGGCCAATCTGATAGGTGCGATGTGGTACCTCAGAGTCATTTTGATTTGCATTTCTTTAATCAGTAGTGATTTAGAACAATTTTTCATCTGACTGTAGATAGCTTTGGTACTCATTACTTTTGAGAATGCCATCAAGCAGGGAGGCAGAGCCAGCATACCAAACAAGAGGGCCGAGTTCCAAAGTTTTTTCTTCAGACCAGAGTAATAGACCGTCTAGGAAGATGGACATTGAGAAATGTGTTAGACACCTACGCTGTGCCAGGCTCTGTACTATGTGCAGAGCACATACACAATAATTTCTTGGCGGCGGGATGATGGGCAGGAAGGGCTGGATCAGCAGTTGGGAGTAGTTCGAGATGGCGTTTGGTCTGAGCCTTGGAGGGAGCTTTTTAGGGTCCTCTGAGTCGGGAGTGAGGAGGAGGTGGATGCCAGGCACGTCCCACTGAGGTGTCCAGGGGAGCATGCTGGAGCGCTTTGGCTGGACCCTGGTGAGTGTATGTGAAAGAGAGGGAGCCTGGCTGGGAAGCACTTCAGATTCATTCAAGGCGCTCGATGGTCCAGGAGGACAAGGACCGAGCAGAGCCTTTAGCATTTATGAGATAGCGCTAGCCTTGGAGACAGTGGCTTTGGCAGAGGGTTAGAAGGGCCTTAGAAGTAGGGGGCTGCTGAGGGGGCAGAGGCAGCGAAGGGACGGGGGGCTCTTGGGGCTTAGCTGGGAAGGGGTGGAAGAGGATGCAGTGAGTCTAGGGAAGAGGACATTTTTGTTTTGGTACAAGTCAGTGAGGAAAGACTCAGTAGATGACAAGGTAAAGGGCAGCGATCAACGGGACCAGCCCTGGAACAGCCTTGTGGAGGCCAAGGGACCAAATCTTCTGTGGCTGGAGCAGAAAAAGAAAGGATGGAACAGCTCTCGAGAGGCAGCCAGGCTGGGGCGTAGGAGACATGAGGCAACCTTTGGGGTTGCCCTTGAGTTTTTTCAGGAGAGCCTGCAAGGAAGACCTCTGCTATGAATGAATGAATAATCAAATGGAAAAGCATTTATTAAGTACTTACTGTGTGCCATGCACTGTGCAAGCAGCATAGGACCTGCTCTCTCTCAAGCATAAAGGGAGCTCAGAGGGTGGAGGCCTGGGTTCAGAGCCTACCCCGAGCTTGCTGCCTCTGTGGCCTTGGACAAGTCACTTCAGTTTTCTGGGCCTCAGTTTGCTCGCTTGTAACATGAGGGCCTCCTAGCCCCCTAGAAGCTCTAGATCTTTGGTCCTATGAGGCCTGCCTCCGAGCTAGGTCAGGTTAAGGCTCACCCAGCTCTGAGAGCCCAGTATGCCAGGGGTAGGTTACGGTTTGGGTGGTAGGGAGACAAGGGGTGTGGCAGAAGTGTAGGCAGCATAGTTTATAAACATCTGGCAAGAGTGGAGGAGGGTGAGGGGTGGCCTTGGGGCTTCAGGGGACGAGAGTTTGGAGGTTTGGAGCTGTCACTTAAATAGGGAAGAAAGAAAAGCCTTGCAATGCAGCAGGGAGGGCCCTATTGGGGTCGCTAACCTGGGTTCTAGTGCTCGCAGTTGGCAGAGTCTTATGACCCCTCCTCGAGGCCCTCATCATGGGAGGTGGAGCAGAGAAGGCAGATGGTGGGATTGATGCTGGGTTAAGGGTCAACAGGGTATGAATGGTGGCAGGATATGGGACCAAGAGATTCAAGGGTGGAGGACAATATATGATTGAATTGGCCCACTAAGAGTGCAGTCTGTGAAGAGAGGAAAAGGAAGAAGCGTGTTTAAGAGGTAGGGCTGGGGAGGTCTTGGAGCGGGGGTGGGTGGGTGGGAACTGGAGAATGCAACAAGGATAAAGAAGACGGTGATGGGAAGAGGGAGGCAGAGGAGCTTGATGAATAGGACGTGGTGAAAGGAAGAGAATTGCAGACTTGGGCACGATGAACAAGATCAATGTGTGGTCCTGTGTCCGGGGACAAAAAGTCAACTTCCCGGGTACTGGATAAGGAACAGGGGGCTAGTCTAGAGCTGGTTGGAAAGAGAGTGAGTTTGAATGGACTCCAAGTGCCCTGTGGCCAGTCAGGGAGCAGCATGACAGAGCAGCCTCCGTGCCTCTGTCCTGTGCTAGGTGGCTACCTCCGGAGGATCTTGGTCCATGCTGGGCCTGTCACTTTAGAGGGACCTTAGCTAGATGCCATGTGACTAGAAGAGCAGGACCTGACTGAACCACATTATGGCGGAGTAGATGGAGGTGTGGGGACTGCATTTGGAGTTGGAAGGCCTGGGTTCAAATCATGCCCTTACTACACTACATTCCCTTCCCCTTTCCGTTTAGCAAATTTTAAAATATCCTGAAAAATAAATTCCTCAGGATATATCTATATTTTATGGCCTTTTCAGCACTGCAAGTCCATCCCCTCTCTCCAGAGGTAAATGGTGGGCCTCATCTCCATTCTTGTGAATGCGTGGTTTATCCTTGTGTTGATCAAAGTTCTCAAGTCTTTCACAATTGTTTTTCTTTTTAATGTAGTAATCATTGGAGTAATTTATTTTTTCGGTTCTGCTCATGTCAGTCTGCATCAGTTCATGCTGGTCTTCCCAATCTCCTCTAAAATTGTCCATTTCCTCATTCCTTATATCATAATAATGAATATGTTAACCACAGTGGTATACACGCTAGTATATTACATTACATTTGCAGAATCCGATCTGTATAGTCAGCTGCTATCACTATTTGTATACATAGGGGTCTTTTCCTTTTTCTTTGATTTCTTTGGGGTATGGGCCTTGCAGTGGTAGGTTACACTTTAGTAGTTTGAGGGACATTGTTCCAGATTGCCTGGAGGCAGCCAGGTGATGCAGTGGGTGGAGTGCTGAGCCTCACCTGCTTCCGGTGGTGGGACCCTGGGCAAATCCCTTAAGCTCCGCCTGCCACAGTTTCCTCAGCTGTCAAATAGTGACAGCAGCAGCACCCAAGTCCCAGGATTGTTGTGTAGATGAAACGAGATGGTATTTGTAAGGCCCTTTGCAAACCCAACCGTGTTCTAGAAGTTCTGGCTGTTGTCGTTTCCCAGAAAGGCTAACCCCAACCCTAGTC